AGGGTTGCCAGCCAGGTCCCCAGTGGGGGGCATGCAAAAGGCAACCACACATTGACGTTTCTCTCCCTCTCTTTCTCCCTCCCTTCCCCTCTCTCTAAAAATAAATAAATGAAAAAGGAAGGAAGGAAGGAAGGGAGGGAGGGAGGGAGGGAGGAAGGAAGGAAGGAAGGAAGGAAGGAAGGAAGGAAGGAAGGAAGGAAGGAAGGAAGGAAGGAAGGAAGGAAGGAAGGAAGACATTCAGCCAGACTGGTAGGACAGGTGGAGATGTGAAACAGGCTGATCCTACATCCACATGTGGTGAATAAAAATTTGGAAGGGATATCTCAGGAGCAAGGAGTCCCAGTCCAATACCAGGCCCTCCAGTCCAAGTTTCCAGTGCCAGGAAGATAAGTCCCCATAACTTCTGGCTGCAAAACCAGCAAGGATTGAGTTGGTAGAAGAAACTGCTGGAACCCCAAGCAGTTTCTCTTAAAGAACCACACATGGATGTACTCAGACTCACTCCCTCTGAGCTCCAGCACTGAAGTAGCAGCTTGAAGGGCACCAGTGGCATACAGGGAGGAAGTGAAGTGTCCCCCAGCTCTCATCAAGGTGAAAGCTGGGGGACAGCTTTCTCCCAGACAGAAAGGTGGACAGAGGCTATTGCCCCTTTTCTGACCCCTCCCTCCAAAGAGCCACAGAAGTGAAAGATAGGTGCCATATCTGAGACTCCATCAATGTGGCTAACACTGTTGCCCTACCCTGGAGATCTCCTGAGTTCATTCCACCCAACTTATGGGCACACCCAAGCTGTCAACAGTGACTTTTCCATATGAATGGCTGGTCTTGGCTCATGCTTCACAACTTCCTAAATCCTTGAAAATAAGCAACAACCAGCCTCAGTGAGCTCCCAGGCCCAGTACCTCTTGCTAAATGGCCCCAGGCTCAGCACTAGCAGCAGCCAGCCTAGATTCACAGCTTGGCTTTGCCTGAGAATCTCTAAGCCCAGCACAACTAGCAGCCATCTCAGATAGCTTTATAGCTCAGGCAGAGTGGCCCTGCGCAGAACACAGGTGGGGATTGATCTTGGCCTGTATCACCCAGGAAACCCCAGAGCCTGCACATGCAGTGGACAACTACAGGCCATATCAAAGCACCATCACCCTTCCCCTGCATAGCTAATCCTCCACGGATGGTGAAGGTTGGTGTTCAGTGGTCACAGTCCATCCTTGCAGCTGACTGGTCTGGGTAAATCCCTCCCATTGACCTGCCAACAGCAATCAAGTCTCAACTACAAGAAGAGGGTATACTCAGCCCACACAAAAGGCACATCTCATGTACCCAGCTTGGGTGATAGAAAGGCTGTGCCACTGGACCCTACAGGGCACCTACTACATTAGACCATGCTACCAAGACAGGGAGTGATAGCAGTTCTACCTTAAAACAAATATATAGAGGCTGCCAAAGTGAGGAGCCAAAGAAACATGGTCCAAATGAAAGAACAGATCAAAACTCCAGAAAAAGAATTAAATAAAATGGAGATAAATGATCTATCAGATGCAGAATTCGAAACACTGGTTATAAGAATGTCCAAGTGAGGACCTCAACAGCATAAAAAAGATCCAGTCAGAAACAAAGGATACACTAAGTAAAATAAAGAACAATTCACAGGAAAACAACAGTAGAATGAATGAAGATGAGAATCAAATTAATGATTTGGAACATAAGGAAGCAAAACACAACCAATCAGAACAACAAGAAGAAAAAAAAAGAGGATATTGTAAGAAGCCTCAGGGATAACCTCAAGCATTCCAATATAGGGGTGCCAGAAGGAGAAGAGAAAGTGCAAGAAATTGGAAATCTATTTGAAAAAATAATGAAAGAAAACTTCCCTGATTGGGTGAAGGAAATAGACATGCAAGTTCAGGAAGCACAGAGAATCTATCATTTTGATTTCTCTTTGTTTTCTTATAGGGAACCGATCATCATGGCAATGGCGAATGTAGCCCAGCACTGAATCAGAAAACCGATCGGGTGCGAGGTGGCACACAGGACCCAGGCGTGCAGATCGGCTTTCCCATTGGGAACCAGGCTGGTATTGTACTTAGGCTGCTTTAAGGCTCACTTTTGCTAAAACTCCCTCACCCTGGGTTGAAACTGCAGATGTTAAATGTATATCTATGAAGCAACCCCCTGAAGTCTGCGCTAAGCCGTCCCAAGGATGGAATGTAACCAGATCAATCCCTTTTATCATTCCCTTGCATTTGCAACATTTTTTCCTAGTTAGCTGTAAGAAGTAATTACTTGAAGTAAACCTAAGTATAATGAATGAGAACCTTCTTTGATGTAATGCTACAGGAAAGCAATAAAAGCTTGTCCAGGAAAGGGTCGAGGCGCTCTCTCTCAGAGAGAGAAGCCGTGCCATCCCTTTTTCTCTACAGGATTTCTGCAGTCTGTGTGAATTTGTTTGTCTCATCCACAACACATGGACCCCACAGGCTGCAGTCCGCATCATTTTCTAATCAATAAGTACAGGTCCTAATATTTTAAAATAATTAAAATACAGAAAGAAATTATTGACTCAGAATATCATGAGGAAGAGAATTCACTGTCAGTTTTACAGAATATTTTAAGAGAAATTAAGCTTTCTCTGTGCCATAGACATAATAATTAAATATAACTTGGTCTGGTACATATGCTTAAGTGAAAAATCAACTTTAGTGTAATTAATACCTTAACCACTGAGTGATTAACTTCTTTTATTAATATTTCTTGCATCTAAGTAAACATTCCTGTTTGTTCTCACAACTAACAGAGGTAGGTAGTCCCCTAACAAACTTCAATACCTCTTTCTTTGTTTGTTCAATGAACAGGCTACCGAACAACTAATCCCACTCTAAATTTGACACCAGGGATTTCTGAACAAATGAAATTTTATGCCAATGAATAAATCCATATGTTTGTACCCATGTAGACTACCACCCACAACAGCACTTATTTGTGGGCCTTTGCTCAGCCTTCCTTCTCAGAGTCACCTCTCAGCACTAGACAAAAGTCTGGGCACACCCTTTCCCCGGGAATTTCTCTGACAGTGGAACAGGAAGTTGAGTTGCTGCCAGAATATATTTTGCCCTTTGGAAAAAAAGAAAAAGAAAGGAGGAGGTACTGGAAATGTAACCTTTACCTTGAACAATAATGACTTTTCCCAGGGGTCATCTCAGCACGATTCAAAGGATGCCACATCCCACCTCACCAAAAGACTTAATGTAAAATGCCAGAGGGGCTTTTAAATGCTTCATAAAAAAGTAAATCCAAATTGTTTTATCATTCTCATATATTGTTGGACCCCACTTCCTTAGCATAGAATTAGTTGCTGTCTTGCACAATGAAAGATATAATTATTGCAGCACTATAGGGTTTTTCTCCCTAGAGAATAAAATAGCAACTTCTCACTTTGACTGAGTCACCTACTTGAACTTTCTCATGGAAAGAAGAGCTAACAACACTGAGTTCTTTACATGCTTATCTAATTTACTCTCACAACTACGTGGTTTGGCAAGTATCTCCATTTTATAGATGAGAAAATTAAGGTTCAGAGAGTTCTAGCAATCTGCTCAGTGTCTGCTGGCTGGCAAATGATAAAACTGACCTTACCCTCTGCCCAACCCTGACAACTCATAAACTATAACTTGTAAACCACAATAAATCCTTGCTCAGTAAAAGACTCATTTTGTTTCCTGATGGGAGCTGGATTCATCCATTTTCCTTGTCATTTAAACATGTACTTTCTTCTTTCAAACTATTCCTCACTTGCATCCAAGTTTTTGAAGAAAAGTAAAGACAAGCAGATATCAGAGAATGCATTGTCCTTCCAATCTCTCACTTCGTATCCCCCAACACAGAGGGCATTTGTCCCTAGAAAGTCAACCCATTGTAATAAAGAAAAAACTGAAACAGCGTAGGGATTGGACTTTTGAAGGCACCGATATGCTGTATGTGACTTGAAATCTCAAAACAATCACTCATTAGCAGACAGTACATCCACCTGCGGGGCTGAAAGAAGTACCATAAGCTGACATATACACACATCAATTCTTGCTTTCCCTGTGACAGCAGACTTCTCTCTCTGTTTTTAAATTCTCATTCTACTAGTTTTAAGAAAGGCTTCTTTTCTCTCATGCATTTCTCCTCCCCCACTGTACCCCAGATAGTCATAAGAATTCTAAATTGAGTCTCATTCTCTGAGGAAGACTTAGAATGCTCAGTTTTTGAAGACCACACCTGAAGAAGGCACTGTCAGAATGAGATTCCATCCCCGGTTTGTAGGATACAAGAGCCAGAACATCTTAAGGCTAGATATTTTCATATTTTAATTACAAAGTATGGGAGTAATACTCATCTAAACATCCAAAAGCTCAACCTTTCCTTAATTCCACTATCAAGTTTGATACAACCGAAGCTACTTCATCAAATGAATTTATGACAGATAGATGAATGAAAAGAAGGTCGGTGGTGGGGAGAGGAGAGTGGGGGCGAGAAATGGAGACAACTGTATTTGAACAATAGTTAAAAATATATTTAAATATATATATAAATAAATTATGCTCCACAAGCAAAACTTATAACACCAAGAATAAAATTCCCTTCCCAGTAATACTACATAGCACCCCTCAAGAAAGAAATTTGTCCAGAGATTATTTTCAATCCTCAACCAAGGATGTATTTATTGATTCTAGAGAGAAAGGAAGGAAGAGAGTGAAAGAAAGAAACATCGATGTGAAAGGAAAACATCGGTTGTCTTCCATACCTGCCCAGATGAAGGCAGAACTCACAACCTAGGTCCGTGCCTTTACCAGGGATTAAACTTGCAAACTTTTGGTATACGGGACAACACTCCAGCCATCTGAGCCATATCAGACAGGGCTGTCCAGAGACTTCTTAAGTACCCCCTTCCACAATCTATTTTTTTTCATTCTTAAAGAAATATGTTAGCAACATCATAAAGACATGTCAACGCTTACCTTTCTGTATGTAAATAACAAACTGTTTGTTAAAAATTATTTTCTTCCATTCAGCTGTTGAGACTCTTGCTGGGACTTGAGTATCTCCCCGGAGGGCACTCTGTCTGCACTGCTCTGCTCCAGAAGCCTCTCCCTTCACCTTCAGTCAAACATTAATCATTGACTGGTTTTATTGATTTTCAGGAACCATCAGATGTCATAAAAGGTATTATTACATTCACTCCAGGAAAGAAATGGATTTGTACCAAAAGAAGTTAATACACAACTAATACATCTCAAAACAGGTTTCTGATTTTTTTAGTGCAGATAAGAAAATTAGAAGACAAGGAGAAGTTAAAGTGTAAAAACTTTGTTTATTCAACTGTCTTTGGAGTATGAGTTCCATGATCTCAGAGAGAGTTTCATCCGTATTCTGCAGCACCACCCCAGCACTTAGTGGTGTTGGCACAGAAAACTCAATTGACTAATATTTGAGTAGATTCTCTTTCAAATACAGAGCACAGGATGCTGTGTCTGAGCAATGACACACTTCACTGATAATCAGCCACAGGAGACATAGGAAATGACTCAGAAGGCACCACCAAAGACACACTCTGCAGCTGCTGCTGAGATCCTAGGGTTCCCTTATAAGTCGCCAAGAAGCAGTCAGAGTAGCCTTTACCTAAGACTCAAACCAAGTCCTTTCTGGAGGAGAAACTGGTCCATGACATGACCACAGTCTGTTCTGCAAGCCAGGCTCAGGTCAGAACAGAAGTTGCTCTCAGCAAACCACCCCCCACCCCCACCCATTAGAGACCTTCTGATGACAACTGATGCTCATTCGAACACAAATCAGCTCTCATCTCTTGCCTCCTGCTATGTGCTGGTTTGCAGCACAGGTTGTTGTCTGACCTGGTCAATCATGTAAAGTGATTTCCCAATCCCGGTAACATTGGTGTACTAGCACCCAGGACCATCCCCTACTTTACATCACATAAGTCTTTGGCACCTGCCAAGCTGTGCAGGGATCCATTCCATCTTGCAACCACCCAAGACATGCCCTATGTAAGTTTCCCTTTATAAACTCTATGAATTACCAGACTGGACAGCCTCTTTCTTCACTCTTTCCCAGGCTTCTGCTCACAGGGACAGACTTTCAGTCTCAGGACGTTTCCCTGGCTCTGTGTGTACTAACAGCCTTCTCATAATTCTAAGAATGAATGTACCTAAAAGCAAGTTATTTTTTCCCCACTCAAAATGAGATTTCCAATTAAGCAATAAAAGCCAATAGCTCCAGATTTCTTAAGTCAAGGCCTCTTTTAGACTGGTTTCTGATTTGCACCCCTCAATCACTTTGGGAATCCACACTGAAGATGAGAATCAATGTTATTTTTGTATCAAATGCATCACTCTTTATCAGTGTTTCTGTTGACCTTCTGATATTTATTTCTGGGTTTCTCCTCAGCTGTTGTATGTTTTCCATTTGTCTACAGGTATGCATCAAGCAGAATGAAAGCACAAGAGCACAGCCCCCTGTCTAGACAGCCTTCCTCCTTCCCAGGCCCCTGAGAAGACTTCGTGATTGCTCTGAGCCTCATTTCTCTTGGGGATCCTGAGAGTGAAACCATTTATCACATGCCAGCGGTTAACATACTTGGTGGACCAGCAGATCCAGGAAGGATCTTTATTCCTGTGTCTTACTGCCAACATAACTATGTTTAGGGAAATGAAGTCAGCAAGGCTAAGCAGTTCTCAAATTCTTAACATCTCTGCCTTCCCATTTGCTGAATAAAATGATCTTGTTCTATAAAATCAAATAGCTTCCACCTATGTGTTTCACATTCTGGAATCATTGACAAGCATCTCACAGCATTGCTCTAAAACACAGGTGGCAAACACAAGGCCCGCGGGCAGAATCCAGCCCTCCGCCTTGTTTAATCCAGCCTGGCACCTTGTTTCTAACCGGCAGCATTGCCACGCTCTTGCTTAACAGTTAAGGAGTAGTTACATTTGTACAGTCTAAAATTACATTCGGCCCTTGGAAGGCAACTGTGAGGCTGATGTGACCCCCAGTGAAAATGAGTTTGACACCCCTGCTCTAAAATGAGTTTTCTTCTTGTTTGGAAACTTTTTAATGTGTATGTTAAAAGTGCTTTTAAATCAATAAAGTTTTTAAGTGTATATATGTATCACTTTTAGGCATTGTTTTTCAGCAATATTGTACAACTATGTTTATGGCATATTGGAAAACTGGTTTAAAAATATGTTTTTTCATTTAACCTTTACAACATGTTCATGAAGTAGAGTCCATATTACAGAAAGAAAACAGAGGCACAAAGATGTATGCCTTGTTCTGCCTGAGTCATACAGCCTGTGATTACAGAATCAGGACTCGACCCTTGGTCTGTCTGATTGAAAGCCCCATTTACCAATCACAGCTATAGAATCTGCCCGATTATTTCCCTTCCAGCTCCATGTAAGTAATAAAAAATCCACAGGAAGAAATCCCTCTGAGTGAGCCCATTCCAGATGGGAGATGGCCAAGTTCCTAAAATGAACTTTCAAGTTACAGAATCAGATTGATTAACTCTAAAAAGGCCAAAGCCAATTATCAAAGAAATTGACATATGATCATATCTTTAAATAATAAAGGCTTTTCCTGTGCTCTCCAGGATAACGAGTTAGCAAGCTTCTGAGAGCTGTGTTTCATCATTTATATATTCTTCCAGATTAAATCCAAAGATTAAGAGCATGCACTGCATTTGAAGAATCCATTTTAATGGTAGTTCTATAGTTTAATACCGACACAGTAATAATAGGAATAATAAGAAAATTTAATTGATAAAAATTACTGGTTCCTTTTATCCGAGCAAAAGAGAGAAAAATTTATATCATGGAATCAAGTGAACAATTGAAAGAATTTGGGCAAATATTTCTGACAGCTTCATGGTGTTAAAGACATTTTAGCACTTTTGTCTAAGTAATGTTTTAACCATTCTTCCAACATTAGCCCCAGAAAAATCTTTAAGTAATGTTTAATTTATGGGCAATGTTAGTTAGCGAAAAATAAAGTTTGGATAGTCTTCCAGGAAAAAAAAAAAGCTTTATGGAAACGTGGAATTATTCTTAAAATTCAAAGTATGTTAAATTTCTCATATTTTTATTCTTTAAAACTCTAAGCTAATAGAATCCACAAATGCTAAAGTTTTCATTTCTATGTATTTGCATATTTGTGTGCTACATATCATGTATTTTAGAACATTTATCATGAGTCTATCAACACTCAAACTTCACCTAACAGAAGTGTGTAATATTTTTAATAACATTTAATATCTGTCTTGATCGTGTTAAGTTAATACTGGCAGAAACTATGTCTTCTATTGGCACTCAGTAAATACTTTTTAGAACTGAATTATTTTCAGTTACAGGTATTTGATTCATTAATTCCAAATAGTCAGAATTACATTCAGGCTCAACAAAAGCTGATAGGAACCCAAACAGGTGAATGATCTTGCACCTCCTCAAACCAATATTTTACATCTTTTGTTTCATATTTATTTAGTGGAATGTGGTGAAACTAATTTTGTGTTAGTGAACATTTTAGGCTGAAGCAGAATTTTCCGTAATATTCTGGACAATTTCAGTGTCTAGAATACTGTCCATTTTCTGATAAATTTAAGCAAAACACCTCCTACTTTTATGTAGCTCTTATACTTGTCTCTGGTTTTGTGTGAGATTTGTGTTTTCATGTTGCTGTTATTTTGGGGGAGTTGGGTGTAACTTTCCAAACCAGGATTCTTTAAAGGATTGTTAAATGATTTAAGACTTAGGAAACAAAATAAATCGCTAGAACCATACAAAATGCTGTTGCAAAATCTTAGCTGACAGCCACCTAAAAATATTCAAAAAAGATATTTAGAGCTTAATAAAGGTGTTCTCCCTCTACCATCTATTTAAACAAAAGTGGATCCAGTTTACACTTAGTTATTTCAGGAATATTTTAACTCTATTTACAGATGGTTGCTCCAAGTACCTGCCCAGTAGGCAAGATCCTTAATCTGGCTCTAGTTATTCATGTAATGAAATTGCCAGAGAATCCTATGAATGTAATGGTTAGTATATATCCACATCATCAGCCATATATTACACAAATGACTTCCAGAGCTTTCTAAACCTGGAGAGTTTATGAAACCTGGGCCTTACACTATGAGATCCTGGTTCAGTAGGTCTGGGATGCATCCCAGGAATCAACATTTTTAAAGCAATTTGGGTTCCTGAACCAGATAATCACATGGACCCTTCTGTAAGAAACACTAACTTAGGGGTTCTGTGCTTTATCTACCAATAAATATTCTTTAGAAGGGCCTGTACTTGAGTTTAATTTTGCCCCAACACTGGGGGCTCGGCTCTGCGGGAATGTCTCAGACCACGGTGCAGCGGGTGTGGTGTTTGTTGCACACGCTCACTGTGTTTGGATGCGCACTGGAAATGGCAGGCACACACAGGCTGATTTCCCTCACACACTTTATCACAGCCTGCTGAAGTTTTTATTTGACCTCAGATTTCCCTTAAATTTCAAGAAATTACAATAATCTTGTTGGTTTTTCTGAGACCTAGCCCTATCCCTTTTAACAGATTTCATCAACGTGAGTCTTTGCTCATATTCAGTTTCCTGCTCAGACCGTTGCATCATCATCAGCTTCCACCTCCACTATCCCACTAAAGTTGCACCCGCCAGGGTGAGCAACAACCTGCTCACGATAATCAGAGACATTCTCCAGTCTACACTTTACCAGACCTCTCTTGACCTTTGACACTATCAGTAGCTCTCCCTGGATCTCCCTTTACCCTTGATTTCCTTTCCAATAACCTCTCATGGTTTTACTTTTATGTCCCTGCCAGTCCCCTCCTAGTCATATGTGTGGGCTCATCAGATGCCTTGTCATCTCCTCTAGGAAGGCTGGATCTGCTCCAATCTACAGGCCAAAGTCTCAAGTTTCTCTCTCCAGTCCAGATCTCTCCCTCAGTTTGGGGTCAAGTCTATTATATCCAACCACCTATTGCCATAGGTCTATCTACATGTCCCACTTGCACAACAAAATTAACACATCCAGAATTAACCTTAATGTCTTAATTCCTCCCAAATGGGTCATCC